TACATTTTATCTTGATGTGATTCCATGGAACTATAAAATAATATATGATATGTTGTATGTATGTAATAAATATACAAATAGTAAGGAGTAAGAACCCTTTTTGGTGTCAATGTTTTTTATATATCGACTATATTTAAGATTTTAAGTCTATTTTTGCCATTGATAAACTGTGACTAAAATATGTTTTTCAGTGTCGCTGTCTTTTACAAAAGAATATGCAAATACATTCACAATTTTGCCATGAAGCAATGGCGATAGCTCAAAATGTTTTATTTGGAATTGGTGGAACTATATTTATACGTACATCAACAATGATGGTTTGTCCATAGGGTTTGTCCTATGGGCGCCCTTCATACGGGTCGACAAATATTGATATTTTCGAAAAAAATAATTAAATTCTGCCTACCCATTATTCACAATATGAATCTCCAACGATCTGGCATCATTTACAACAAGTTGCACACTTGAAAAACCAAAATTGAGTGCATAAAAGCAGGCCTTAAAATATCTTTTGCAGGGCCGTCTGACAAAATGTCCGGTGACGTTGAGTTTGGGTCGGACATATGTCCGATGACCTTCAGTTCATTTTTGACTCGGAAATAAGTCCGAATGACACAAATGAATAAACGGTAAATGTTGTAAAGATATTAAATAATTTGTTTCTTTCATTCTTATTTCCAAGCCAAAATTAACTTGCTTGCCAGAACAGCAGTATTAAAAAAGACTTCGGCAACTTAAGCCCGTTTTCCACTTCACCATTTCGCTCGCCGCCCCGCGCTCGACTACGTTAAAACAACATTTCCAGTTCACCTTTTATACAATACTACTCTGATTTTCCATTTAACATACAAGCCTCTAGTCCTGGGCTAGGGTACATTTTGATTTACGTTGGGGTGCACCGGAACCAGTTTTTTAAGTTCCGGCCGGAACCGGATCCAACCGGAACTGGAAAAAAGTTCCGGCCGGAAGTTCCGGCCGGAAGTTCCGGTCGGAACCGGAACTAATTTATTAAGCCATATATTGTCATATGTTACTTTGTCCGCTGCCAGACAGGCAGACACTTCAAGTCATCAAGGAGCTCGCTCGCAAATGTTAGAATAAAAAGATTGACAAGCGTCACAATGAAGTGTTAATGGTGTACATTTCCCTTGCGTAGTCCAAATTTCTTCCTACTGTGATTTTTTGTGAGACACAAAAACGTTTGATATTCTATCTCTCTGAAAACAACAGAGTTCCGGTTCCGGCCATGCTTTTTTTACTAGTTCCGGCCGGAACCGGAACTCTAAAAAATCGGGGTTCCGGCCGGAACCGAGTTCCGGTGCGCCCCTAGATTTACGTAGGACAAAGCTACAGTTCGGTCGGTTACCAGTACACTCGGGTCGGACAAACAATAAACCTCAGTTTCACTTTGGTCGGACAGAATGTCCGGTGGTTTCCTCCCTACGTCGGACAATTTCACGAATGGGTCGGACAATGTCCGTGACCGACCGATATTTTAAGGCCTGATAAAAGAGGATTTATTGTCAACTTTGTCCATTTCCGCAATACAAAATATACAAATTATCACGCTCGGTGGGAACGACCAATATGGCCGCCGCACGTAAACTGCGACTGCGATCAGGCTTCAATTTTCGCCTGCCTACAGGGTGGGATGCGCTATCTAGTGTATATGAGATATCTATGGATCAAACGTACTGCATTATTTAGCGAATTTTATTAACGAACTGCATTATTTTATTGAATAATTTTAAGCGATTTAATTTCGCTTGGCTTTCAAAGACAAAGGCCACAATTTCCATAAATTGCTAGAATACTGTTGTTTAGTAAAAATTTGACATCCGTACGTACAATTTCTTACGCTGAATCGAACGGTGGTATTTTTATCCGTATTGCGCCATTATACATTAGGTGTCATCACTGTCATTAGACATTACAATATCATATTTCACACTACAGTTTTCACGTTCCACGGCTAACTATTAGGGACTGTTGCTGCATAAATTTTATATTGATATGACACCAATATGCTTCTCATAAAGTAGTTATCTATTAAAACTACGTTGTGTAGTTTAGGTTATAACCTTTTACCTTGCAATTGTCTTTGGCTCGTTTATAATCAGATTCAGTATATTTAATATGATCGTGCACGGGAATTCAAAGATCCAAATTTCGGATTTTCAGAGTCGTGTACCAAGAAAAATGCATTAACTAAGCTAGCAAAAATGCCCAGAGTTAGACACAATGCAAAATCCATAGAAAACCGGTACAATTCGTTGAAAATTTTAACGAAATTGTTTGAAACATTTTGCCCACTCACGAAAGCCCGCCATTCTGAAAAGGATAAATTGGGTTTATTACACGACGTAAACAATCGATGTAAACTAATCGCTGATTGGCTTAAATATATCATGAATTGGCTCAATTATATAAGCTCTTCGCTAAATGGCTATGTGTTAACATACGGTACGTTTGCGATGGCAATATATCTGCTTCGCAGATACAAAAACTATCGATTTTTTCCATGTTGTTTACAGAGAAACGTCACAGCTGCCAACCCC